TTTTAAACCAGAAATATTGATAAAGATCTTGCTTAACCTAGTACAGTCAACACCCACAATAGTCACCCGCATTTGTCACAGTCTCTCTATACACGACTCTCTATAGTCACCTTGGATTTTTATCCACTATATATAAATTCTTGCTCGCTTTAGTCACAATTTTCTATAGGCATATAAATGTCTCATTTCAGCATGTGACAATCGCGAGAGTTGGCTGTATACTGGATCGTGCTTAAATTTAAGCGAATGGAAATAGTATAAAATGTACAAAATAGTACATGTACACAGTGATAATATTCAAATTATAATTATTATCATAACGCAGTTATTGGTTTTAATTATAAAATTTTCAAAATTTGAGCCTCATATATGTAAATGTTTTCGTTTTGTCCCTTATATGTAGATTCCCTATATTTAATATATATTATTGAAAATGCAATTAATAGAATAAGTAGATCAAGATAGAAATACATGTAAGAATTTGTTAAACCCTCACTTATTTCGGAAATAAGTAATTCCAAAACCCCTAATTATGAATGTTAATTTCATATTAGAATTACTACCTTTTAATAGTAATGATTACCTGACCTTCTGTACTAACTATTTTTCTTTATTTTAACAATATGTTATCTTAGAATTAAAATTATTGACGGATTTAAGAAAAAGAAAAATAGCTAGTCATTATCTGATTGATATCTATATAATATGCAAATTTTTTTGTTCGATAACTTCACTCCTCTTTTATGTATCTTCCAAATTTTTATCAAGTTTATTCAACAGTGGTTGCATTTTTAATTTTATTTCTAACCCAAATCACGGATTATTAATTAAAAATAATTTCTTGCTATTCCAAGTCATGGGTAACGCACATTCTATTAAAGCTGAGCAGAAGAAAATGGAGCTCAATGATGAAATTCGCAATCGAGAAATTGCGCATAAGGAAAAGCAATTAGAATTTGAAAAATCGAAAGCAGATTTTGAACATGCCAATGAAAAGAAAAAGAATGAACTCAACGAAGAAGCTGATAAGCAAAAGGCTGAAATTGAAAAAAGGAAACTTGAAAATGAGGCTGAAATTGAAAAAAAGAAAATTGAAACCGAAATTGAAGCTGCAAAGAATAAGCATGAATTAGAAAAAGGAAAAGCTGTTATGGAGCATCGACACAAAATTTCTGAATTAATAATGCAAATACAACAAACAAAGCAACAAAATGGGAAAGATATTTTATTATACTTCTTTTACTCGTTGGTAATTCAGTATATATGCTCAACTACGATCATGATCACGATTTATTCACCTAATAGTGCTGTTTACTGTGGAGTTATTGTAATCTAACATTTAGTAATTATCCTCTTTACAAAGATTTTTTTGAGATTACAAGCGCGCCTTTTCAAAGCAATTCTTATATCCTTAGTATAGTTTTGAACTTGGTGACTCATTAGTACGCTAAAATTAGTATGTTCTTTGAGTCGTTGATTGTAATTGCCATAACTAAGAATTAGGTGTTTAAACATAATTACACAAATAATTTGTTGAATCATTATTGAAAAATCTTGGTAATAATAAGTTATCCGACGTTTCATATGATCATTTGAATTTTTTTTGCCATGATATTTTTTACATAAAATTACGAAATATCATATTAACTATCCGATAACATCATTATTGAACATACGTACGTACGTACGACAAATAACAGTCATTTTTTTTTTTTGTCAGAATTAATGTCACTCCATGTGTTGCGTAGCAGCACATGAGTGAAATTAACTCCAATGAAAAAAAAATTGACTGTTATTTTTTGTCGTCTGCCCAATAATGTACACTTATTTAAATTGGATATCATCGTTGAAATGGTGCTTTTGGTTATATTGTTATAGTCTTCGCCATAAATAATGTGAATCATTTTCATGGTCACAACTTCTTGTTTATACGTATGACTTTATGGTTATAAAAAGTAAGTCAAACAAAAAGCATACGTATGCACTTTGTTAAGTGCCGCAAAACGAAAAACCGTAATTCTTCACTTTCAAAAAATTAGTTTTTACAGGGCACTGGCCTATCTATAATAATAATTGAAATGTCACTCTCCTCATTTATTATTACTAGTGATCTGTATGATATAAATTAGCCCAATAAAATAAAAAAAGTCTTCAAACCGTCCTAGAGTCATCATTAAAAGTTTCGATATCTGGCCCAATTAAAATTCAAGTACAGGTCTATCATAAAATCAAAGCAAAAAGCATCCCAA